CCATTCAACATCATAATGGATTTCATACTTGTGATATTCCAGGCAGTGAGTGATATCTTAATGTTAGATACAGAAATTAAACAAGGTAGTTTTCTGGCCCCAAAGCTTGTATTTGGTTGCTCAACCTCCACCGTATGAATGGTTAGGATGGATAACTCTTCGTAGTAGGTCTGTCTTGTGTGTTACAAAACGTTTAATGGTATATCTGGCCTCTGTCCACTAGATGCCAGTAGTGCTCCCCAAATTGCATCAAAGAAATACATCTCTAGACTGCCAAACATCCTCTGAGGGACCAAAGCCCCCCTGACTGAGAATTACTGATTTAGTGGAAGTGTCCTTCATGAGTCAAAGATTTAATCAGGGTGGCCAAGTGTCACGGGTGAGTAAAGTCTAAAGTGTGCTGAGGCACGGTGTGTGGGTATCCCATGCATCTTAGTCTTCACACTGAACATCTGGATGTGCTGAAATATGAGCCTTGGCTGATGCGTGGGCCAAGTTTTAGACAGAAATAAGGAGTCCCTCAGAGGAAAATAGAGATACAGGTTCCCCAAGGCAGAAGTCACAGTATGAACAAAGTCCTGAATGGCCAGAAACTTTGTGAGATGTACATAACTGGAGTTCCCTGGCTACTGAGAGCTGAAGCAAGAGTTTAGGACAAGGGCTCTATCTGTCAGGGCAGAACAACCTTGATTTTACCTTCTGTCCCTGCCCTTCTATTTACAGCTTTTCAAATTCATTGAAATTATTTGTGCTTAACAAAGGAGATATGCTGGCTTTCTGAGGAAACTTGATGTCGACTTCAAGAGCTGGAGTACCCTCTGAGAACAAGTCCTGAATTATGCATTGAAATCTATGTGGAGAGGGACAGAAATGGGTTTTGAATTTCAGGGTTGAACTTTGCCTTGCATTTGATCATCTTTCAGAGTCTTGAATTTCAGGCGGTATAATGAACAAGTAAGCTGATCATCCACTTTGCTGGAGGAAGAATTCTGTAAGCCTCTTAGGTGCAAGGGTTGGGAGTAATTCGGAGCTGAGGCTTCTGACTTCCATGCCTGATGCATCTGGATTCTTAACACGGTCTAAAGTGTCATCCGTGGCCAATGGGGTATTAAGTGAACATGGCCAAAGTAATTCAGAAGTATTTAAATGCCAAGGAAATGAATCCTAAATCCCAGCAGATATACAACCAAGAGAGTCCTCTCATTATCCTTCTGATGTTCAACAATCATGCTGAAATTTCAAGTCAAGACAGACTGGCTGTCATTAATTTTGTCTTGCTTAGCTTATTTAGAATTAAGCTTCTCATATGCTGGTCTCCTACTGAGGTGGAACAGAGTGACAGAGTTGAATGTTTTGAGACTAGGATATGAAATACTGTCAAGTATTGTAATATATAAATCCTCAAAACTAATTTCAGTTCATGTTAAAAAAAAAGCATACAAATCTTTCTCTGTGGCTAAAGAAACTGTCCTTTTCACACGTCAAAGTTTTCTACTGCTTCTGTGAGAAGAGGATTATTTACCAAGATAGTGATTACAGGCAGCATTTATTGGCTGCATCTCAGATAGTAGGCACAGCACTTTATACCAATTACCTCATTTAACCCTTAATCAGGTATATGAAACCTAGGCTTAGAGTCATCATTTTGCAGCAACAAAGCTGGGAATGAGAGAGCACATGAAGCCTAGGTCACATGTGTCTTCACTTCAGCTAGCACTGCCCCTAAGTCCATGAACTGAATTGCTATGCTAAGCATCCAGATGTATCAAACAGGAAGTTGTACTGGGGCCAAAGATAAGTGTTTTACATAATGCAACAAGGCTAGGAATATGGCTCAGTGGTGCAAGGGCCTGCCTGCAAGTGCAAGGTCCTGAGTTCGATTCCTGGCACCAAAAAAAAAAAAAATTAAGTAATGCAACAGAGAAAAATATAACCTGTCTTTGGAGCATATGAGAAGCACCTAAGTTCTAAGAGAGAGCACTGAGCTATAGTTTTAAACACCAGATAGGAATGAGGTTGGCTGAGCAGGCAAGAAATGGCATTGCATACAGGAGGAAATGTGCGGGGGGTGCTTGGAGGTGGGCATAGGATTTGATACAGATCACAAGAGGGAACCACTGAGGTGCAACAAGACCGGTAGGCAGGGACCAGGAGGGAAAAGGCCCTGAGAAGTGGTTGTCCCAAGGCCCCTTTAGCTTACTTATATCTTGGACAGGATTGCCTCGGGATGCACTCATTGACTTCATGCCACATGGATAACTTTGAGCTTATGATCCCTGATAGTTTCTCTATCACACTAGTCATTCACCTAATGCTGGTTGGGAAAGAAGCTCCAACATTTTTTATTTCAGCTCAGAAAAGATGAATCTGAGCGGGCACTAGAGTCTCTCCAAATTTACCCTGGGCTGCTTATTAATGGAATTCTTCAATCAAACTGCTGCAAACAGTCCTGGGTAAAAGAGAACAGGTCTATAAGGAGTCAGGAATAATAACTGCTTGTTGCTTGTTTACATATTCATTCATTCATTTATCCAGTACTTCTTAGTACTCTCTCTTTACCCAGCTGTGGGAGAAACCATTATAAATATTGTCATGTGTAATATCCCCCAAACTTCCAGGAAGCAGGTGTTGCTAGACTCCTTAACAGATGAGGACCTAGCACTTCAAGGGCACAGGGCATCTGCTTGGCAGGATATGCATTCTCTCACCTCTGCAGATTCAGCACAACATGTGGCTCCCACAAGCAGACAGCTCTTCAGAAAATACAGAATCATTCCAGACTCATGCAGAACTGACTAGATCACCCATATCCAATTACCCTCTCTCCTTTTGCCCACAAGTCCTGAGTGCCTACTGTGTGCCTAGTGTGGGGTGATGGACAGTAAGGCATGGAATACAATCTACTGGTGTGCAAAAATAAAAGCAATGTGGGTCTCTCTGGAAAGTACTGCACCTGTGCCCAAGTCAGGGCACAGAAGTTGAGAAATAGAGGAAGGAAATTAATATTTATAGAGCACTAACTATGTGCCTGACTGTATGCAAAATCTTTGGCAAACTTGATCTCATAACAATTAGATGAAGCAGGTAGCACATAATGCTATATTACAAATGAGACCACTGAGTCACAGATTTCACCAAGGTCAGCCAGATGGGAAGGGAGGACGTGGCTTCTAGTGAAGGAACTAGTGGCTTCTAGTGAAGGAACAACTAACTTTTGTTACAACAGCAACTCACACTGGAGTTATTACTAACTATTTTTATGTGTTCCAAGACCATGTTAGCAGTGTGGCAAAGACCATGGACTTCACCAAGTCATAATGTGGAATGCATAAGTAAAATGTAATATGCAATTATAAAAAAACTGATCATATTGAAAAAGAATTATCAATATACCTAAAAATTTGAGATGTTGTCAACTGCATGCTTCTTAGTGATGAACTTAATGGCAAGACCTACTGGCATAAACTTGAAGCAGTGATGAGCATGAACAATACTCTGAGATGACAGAACGTAAAATTATCTGTGATTTCCGTTGTGGACAGTCATAGACATTGTTTTGGTTACTTTTCTCATTGCTGAGACAAAATACCTGACACCCAAAGTTAAAGAAAGAAAGGTTTATTTGGCTCACAGTTTGTAGAGTTTTGGTGCATAGTTGGCTGGCTGCAAGGCAGGGTGGCAGAGCAGATGAGCTTAGCAGAGGAGAAACAGTTCATGGCAGGCATAAAGCAGAAGGCAGCAAGCAGTAACCCTCTTTCTGTCCCTTATATCTTATCCTGGCTACATACCCTTAGGGCAGGTAACACTTAGACCCAGGGTGAGACAGCTTTAATCCTAGCATCACACCATGAATCAATCCCAGCGTCACATCCTTGATACCAGCATCACGTACTCTAGATCCAGCTCCTCTGAAAAGCCCCAAGTATGACTGTATGAGGCTTTGGAGGGACATCTACATCCAAGCTACAACAGACGTTAGGAAATGGATGATGTTTGTTGCCCACACGTGTTACTAAAAGAGATGCTAAATTTTAATGAGAGGTCAGTAACTTAAAGATGTAATTTTTCCAACCAAAGCTCATGGACCTAGATTCTACTCATTTGGGATCTGTTTGGGGGCAACAGGTTAAAGGTGACTGTCTTGTGTCATTTATGTCATTCAGTTCTGTTGGAGGGCATTTGACAAAGATTTCCTCTGAGGAGGCTGGGGATTTAGCTCAGCGGCAAAGCGCCTGCCTGGCAAGCACAAGGTCATGAGTTCGGTTCCCAGTACCAGAGAAAAACCAAAAAAAAAAAAAGATTTCCACTGAGTCTGGTGGGCACCACGAAATGGTGAAAAAGAAAGACAGGAAATTGTTGATGTGAAGCAGGAGGACATGAAAAAGGGCCAAATATTTGCAGCACACTGCTGTGGGTTGGGCACTTTCCAGTAACCCCTTCATACCTACAGGAGCTGCATTTCAAGTTCCCCACAGATGCCTGAGACAGCAGACAGCACAGAACCCTATATATACTATATTTTTCCTATGTGTAAATACCTAAGACAATGTTTAATTTATAAATTAGGCCCAGTAAGAGATGATCAATAAAATTAATAATAATTATAACGAACTGTAATAAAAGTTATGTTAATATGTGCTTGCTTTCTCTCTCAGTTTCCCAATTGCACTGTATAATATTTGGAGACAGTGGTTGATAGCAGGTAACTGAAACCTTGTGCATAGGGAGAGATGGCTGTGTCTGCTATATCTCATTTAAGCTCCACTTAAGCAAGAAGAAATAGAAGTTCAGAAACCTGCCTAAAATGTAACTGCTAGTAAGTTGTTGAGCTAGCATTTGAACCACCCTCTGTCCAGTTCCAACCTGCTGAATCAGACTTAGCACTGTGGGTGTGCAGCTCCCACCCTTGGAGGACAATGTGTGAGTCTCTATGGAGGGATGGGAAATTACAAGAGCCTGCACTGAACGAGGAAAATTGTTCACTTTTGCTTATTTTGTAGCCAAAAGCTGGGTCTCTTGGATCGGGTTCGCCTTTCTAATCCTCGTGGTAGCAATACTAAAGGAAAGCTATTTACCCCTCTGAATGTAGATGCCATAGAAGAAAGTCCTTCTAAAGAACCAAAGCCTGTTGGCTTAAACAATAAAGAGCGTTTCCGCACCGCCTTCCGCATGAAAGCCTACGCTTTCTGGCAGAGCTCTGAAGGTAACGTCCGGATCCTCTCCTCTCACCCTGTCTCTTCTGCTTAGTCCTCTCCTGAGCTTTCCACAGTCCTCACCTCTCCCTCTGTCCATCGAAGAGCTCTGGAGTGCACAGCGCAGCCTCTCCCTTTCCTACCTGGACCAATTTCTCACTACCTTATTTATGTCCCCTGGCCTGGAGGTGCCAGTGGCTTATCTGTGACTCATAGGCTCCCAAGTTAGCTGTTTTTCCGGAACAAGATCACCTCCATTGTTCACACAAGCCCTTGCAAGGAGCCTTGGGACACTGTACCACTGCTCTAAATGTGGTCCTGGGAGGTCAGATTAAAGGATAGAGAGGAGATAAGAGCAAGCGATTTGGAGATGGGTGCATTAGCTCCTCCAGGTGTGAGACGTGTTAGAAAAGCACTCCGAGATTGAGGGGCTATAAGACAGCGGCTACATGCGCCTCTTTCACTTGTGACAGGGAGGGCAGGCAGGACAGCAGCACTGTTGGTATCTGAGGCCACCCCTGCTCTTGACCCTCACCATGTCACTCAGTCCTCTCCAAGGTCTCTTGGGGGTAGAAGGCTCAGAAATTGACCTTCCAAGGTCCCCGGGATAGAGACTGACAGAACAAGAGTCCCACCTCAGATGTGACTGATGCTGAGGCTCCCCCACGTGCCTGCTGCTGCAGAGGGAGTGTAGCACTCCCCTCGCCTCCTTCCTGTCCCCTCACAACAGCTGCTCACACCTCTGGCTTTGATTTCTTAGATTATAGATACTAGAAAAGGGTTGTGATGTCACAGCTGGAGGCTGTGGTGCGGCTCTGAAAAGTAGAAATAAAGACTCTGGGACTTAGAAACTAAAATATAGCAGCGGATCCCTGAGCCCTTCATTGTGGCATGGCCTGCTACTGATACACCTGTCACCCTCCTAGATGCTGGAACTGGAGATCCCATGGCAGAAGACAGGGGCTATGGGAATGACTTCCTCATAGAAGACATGATCCCCACCCTGAAGGCTGCCATCAGAGCTGTCAGGTATGGACTCTCTTTGCCACCTGTGAGCCTCCCAGCCCCTGGTTTAACTCCCCCAGAACTAAGCTTATAAGGTATCCATGGACTTTGTGGGATACAGGAAGCTCCCCCAGTAATTTCTGAGTCAGATCCCAAGGGTACTAAATACTCTAGGAAAGATGCTGCTTCAAATCAGTATTTCCCATTTCAGCAAGTCATCCTGGGAGACTCTTGCTTACCTGGTTATAGAAATGCTAACACAGCCTCCCAGCCTATGTTCAATTGTCACACCTTTTTCTGAGTTTAACCACCATTTACTTTTAAGGATGTCAGAGCAGAGAGTGTATTGACATGGCATTTTCTTCCTTTGTTGCTCAAAATAGCAGGTCTTCTGCCTAACTCCATCAATATAGTCCTTTTAAATTAGTGTTTGGCAAGATAATAAGTCATCAATTTTTTTGCCTGTATTGGAGGCAACCATAAGCCACTCTGGTTATCTGGTTTGCTTCACAATTCTCCAAGAAAATTTTAAAAACGTATGTTACTACTTAAAATTGATCAAGATATGGGCATGCACTAACTTCAGAAGGGTGACAGTAATTCTAGAAACTAAGATGATTCTCCAAACTCCAGCCATGTTATTTTCAGCAAGATTCCCAATCTAGTGGACCAGGGAAGCACAGCAGTATTATCAGATGTAGACTTCAGCAAAGCCTTCGACCTCTTTGTTCATGGCACCATCGTGTGTGATATGACAGAACAGTCAGACGAAAACACACCTACCTGGATCCATACTTGGCTGAAGGGTCTCATCCAGAGAGAATCAGGTAGTGAATCTTCACTGAGAAGGAGGCACCGCTGAGCTGCTCCATGCTCTGGTCCTTGTCTTCTTGCTAGCCATTTCATTGATGCCTCAATGCAGGGACTGGCAAAATTTGTCTGTAAAATACCAGGTAGCAAATACTTTAGGCTTCGTGGTCTATGAGCCTCTGTTGCAATAACTCAGCTAACTATTCTATTCCAAAAACAACCACAGATGGTTCATAAATGAATGGGCATGGCTGCGTTCCAGTATATGTTTACTTTCAAAAACAGGCAAGGGGAAGGTTTGGCCTGTGAGCCACAGACTACAACTCTTATCTTAGGTGAAAGTAGGCAAAAAACAAGCTTATAAAATGGCATAAATTCAGGAGGGATAGCAAGTAAATCTGATGTTGTGATCAGGATGCTAAAATGGTGTTTAGAAACTGGAGCCATGTAGGTCAAAGAAAATGAACTTTAAATGCACCATTTAAAAGACCCATGCAAGTATGAGGTAGGAGGGTCTGGGGCGAGTTTGGGTCTCTTGACTTGAGTATTAGTTTTAGCTGATCTAATACTCAGTAGGAGTTGTCCTCAACATGGAGTTCTCAAGGAACATTAGCCATCAGGGTGACCTTACTTTAGTTCCTGCAAGATGGAGGTGAGTGTCTGATTTCATCTGTTGGTTCTTAGTTCCCCATCTTTTAAGGAACTGAGAAAACTAAGAGGATTGAAACTAACTTTCACAGGAGTTCAAACCTATATACTAAAAAGGCTATTGAGGAGGAGATATATCAGCTGTCCTCAAAGAGAAAGCAGCATGACAGTGACAAAGAGCACAGGCCTGATCAGCACACAAGAGTAGGTCTGAGGCCCAGCTCTGACATCATGAGTGAGCTGAGCCCGGGGAGATGCAAAATTTCCCTGAGTTGCATCCTTTGTAAATTGATATATTAGCAGATAGTACCTAAAACACTGTGCTCAGTGTCTGGCATGGGATACATGCTCAATAAATACCACTTTCATTAATACTTGTAACAGAGACCTACTATGATTTTGACAATTGAAGGGGCAGGTAGTCCTGGAGGAGAGGCACTAGGCAGAAGAACTATGTACGCTTCAGATGGGTAAAACTACCACCCAAAGCCAGAGGTTTTCCTTGTCAGATTGTTTTCTCCACCTAACCCTGAGTTTGTTAGCCTTGTATTTTAGTTCCTTCACTCTCTACTCACAATGCACAAACTCCTCTACTTTGCCTGACAGAATTCTACAATTCCGTCTCTACAAAAAAAAATTCAAGGAAACTTTGAGGCCTTATGATGTGAAGGATGTGATTGAGCAGTATTCTGCAGGACATCTTGACATGCTTTCCAGGATAAAGTACCTTCAGACAAGGTAAAGCAGTCACATCTGGAGGGACTGTGCTCACCCAGCCACTCAGGAATCAAAGCCGAATGAATGTCAGAGTTTTAGGTGAAAAGGGTTCAGAAATAATCCAAAGCACAGATGAGAAACTTTATGCACAAAAATGTTCCTCAAGCACTCTGTATATCACAGCCAACAAATACCAGATCACACAGGATGTGAAGACACTGTGACATTGTCAAGGCCCATGGTAGTATCCTGATTGTACCTGACAGCATGGAGAAGGTGTGTGTCCCACTGGGTCTCCATGGTGATGCTTTGGATATACCCAACAAGACTGGGACCAAGTAAACCGTGGCCAGCTGGCTAATTCTAAATATGACCTTTTCACCCATATTACAAAATAGCCAAGTGCTATATATAACAGTGAAAATATGAAATAGTATCAATGTCCAGTTATTAATTGTCACTTAGCATGTAATACATGTATCTGTATATACATATCTTGTCCCTTAGAACCCTTCTTATGGGATGCTTCATATATAACAGCTGCCATAGTTCTGATAAGGAAATAAACTAGAAAGGCAAAAGGCTAACCCCAAATTACCCAGCTGCTAAGGTCAAGAATATGTAAATATAAATATGACTATAAATATGAATATGAATATAAATATATTGCCTGGAATGTATCAATATATATGTGTGTGCATATTACTGGTAATATCCCCATAAGGTCTACTGAATATGTTCTACCTAGTTCTTGTGATATTACTATTATACTATATGATACAAATACCTATAATATATATGCTATGATTACAAAATTGTTACCCATATGTTTACTCAAAAATATACATGACATGCACACATTGTCCTATATAGGTGACCTAGACCTGGAGAAAAATTGACACAATTAGATTTGACTTGAGTCCTTCCTGGGTTTCAGCCTAAGTCAAGTTTCACTGGTGGAGGGTCCTGCTGGGTTAGCAAGAGCATCATGCTGAAGGAGTTGGGAGTTCATAATGCTACCAGGTAGAGATACGCTTACAATGACCTCCTGTGTCTCTAACTGGCATACCAACTTTGCCCCTCATAATGGCAGACACAGAGATGGTGCTCACTGCCTGATGAATGTGTGAATGAGGGTTCGATCCAGATACTGTTATTTCTGCAAATACAGCTCACTGAGAGACAGAGTAAGTGGGCACACCAGACTCCAGAAATACCAGCCAATTTAATGAGCATAAAATGGATTGTTACACTGTTTTTTTAAAAATATTTATCAGGAAAATGTGTTTCTAAGAGCTGTGGGCAGAAGTTGACTGCCTGGATGACAAACATAGCTTTGCTATGTATTACGGTGGGCCAGACAGAGAAGGTCAATTTAGCAATGATGCATCCCATGTCAATAGACACACCAGATCTGGGTTTGCAGAGGGCGGACAGTGACCTGTGACTGTTTCTGGATACATTGTCTGAATGGCCCCACCACCACCCCCGTCCTTGCTGCAACCCTGCAGCACAATGCAGAGCATTTCTCTCTGTGAACTCCAGCACATAAGAGAAACTTGAAGCCTCACACAGAAATGGAAGCAGAATGCCGGAGCTAAGTTTGGACCATCCTTCTCCTCAGTAGAAATGCCTGGGAAGCAGCAGGCACCTGCACAACGGAAAATGGAGCTGAAAGTCTGGCAGTAAAACTCCCTAATTACAGGATTTGAGGAGGGATAAAAGAAATGGAAGATGAGATAGGGTTGCAGCACACATATAACATTTCCTGTAAGAAAGAACACTGTGTAGCTCTCATGCCATCTCAGCAGTTTATCTCCCCCTGTTTCCCTGGGGTGAAAAAATAGACTCAATACCACAAGACAAAAAGGATGATCCCCTACTAACTTGTAAGTTCTCTATCTCTCTCTCAATCTCTCTCTCTATGTATATAAATAGATAGATAGATAGATAGATATAGATAGATAGATGAGATATATAGATGATAGATATAGATAGATATGGATATCTTCCTTTATTTCCTTTCTTTTATGTATTCCAATCCTTCATTTGAATTAAGAGAGGATATAAGGGTTTATTTTCCTGCTAGGCAAAATTTTATGCAATGTAATACTTCTCATGTTTGTTTCTTTCAGAATAGATATGATTTTCACCCCTGGACCTCCATCTACTCCAAAACATAAGAAGCCTCAGAAAGGGACAGCATTCACCTACCCATCACAGCAGTCTCCCAGGTAGGGCTTGTGAGCAGGGACTGACCAACCACATAGAGCACAAAGTCTATGGAGGGTCCCTGCCCCAAAATGGCACCAGTGTTTTGAAAGTTGTTTCACTTCATGGCCTTTAAAAGGTGCAAAAGACTTCTCACCCTCTTCCTAAACCAGGATGGTTTTTGAAAATAGAATTAATTGTACAGTTTTTCTCACTGTAAAGCAAGAGGAGACTCACAAGTTTTGTTGAGATAAGAATACATTATGTTAGCCGACTATGTGGCATTCCTGGTCAGCTGGTTTTATTGACTGATACCCTTGCCAGGACATAGCCAGAGAAAGCAAGCAGATGTCAGATGCCTGATATTGTTGGAATCCAACAATGACAGAATGCTCTTGCCTTCAGAACAAAGTCAAAATTTTGAACAAGGAGGTATTCTTTGGAAAGTCTACTGCTTTCATTTATACCTCTTTATACTCCAATACCTCTGAGGAAAGCAAGATAAATAAGTGAGTGTGTCAGGCTTAGGGAGTATTATACATCTCCCTCTCTTATACATCTCCCTCTTATACAAAAAGGAAGAGTATCTGCATGATGATAAAAGGTCTCTGCCCCTCAGCCTCAGCCTTATGAATGGAACAGGGAGTGAGGAGACCACGAGGACCTAGAAGCCAAAGCCCCAGATAAGCAATAGAACTGTTTCTTGGTTTTTGTGTTGATCTTACGAAAGAGTATCCTGTTTCCAGAGAGTCTGATTGTTTAAGAAACCTCAGTATCCAGATATTTTGAACCCTTGTCTATTTTTGAGATGGCGTTTTGAGGTCTTTCAAAACCTACACAGGATGAAGAAAACACTGGTAGGCTATAAGTAGCACATGGACCATTAGTTTTTGACATTTGCATTTTGTTTTGTTTTGTTTTGTTTTCCGGTGCTGGGAATTGAACTCATGACGTGGCGCTTGCCAGGCAGGCGCTGTACCACTGAGCTAAATCCCCAGCCCCTGACATTTGCTTTAACTCAAGACTGCACAGCCACAGACAGGAGATATAGCAGGAATGGTAGGTTATGAGACAAAAATCATCTACCAGGAAAGCACTTATCGTGAATGGTTTTGAATAACAACAACGCTCCCTGAAACTTCTTTACTGCATAAAATATAAAAATATCCAAACTCATTGGAATTTAGGTGGATATTACCCATGCGTAGCCCAAGAGAAGATGCACCATTCATCTGATCCCCATCCCCACCATCATTGTTTTCCGCATCATTTCCAGATTCAACAATTTTTTTCCATTCTTAGCATAATGAGACCAATGAAATATGTTTGCCCACTGAATAAAATTTCAGAGCTCCAAACAACTTGCCCACCATCACACACACGCTCAGTGTTGCAGTTCTTTCAGTCAGGAACTGGAAGCCAAAATAATTTAATTTAAAGGAGTTAAACATTCTTGGCACTGTTGGTGCTTTGTTAACTTTAACACAAATCAGTTTCTTTATACAGGCACATTGGCACTTGCCTATAATCCCAGCTATTGGGGGTTGCTGAAGCAGGAGAATCATCAATTTAAGCTGAGTTTGGGCAGCTTAGTGAGACTCTGTTATTTAAAAGTATTTTAAAAAAATATTCTCCTTAATAGTAATTTCCTATTTGGCTTCAAGTTCTCCTACAGTGGGGTTCAGCGTGAAATCTACAGTGCTGAAGCCCAGAAGAGGTTAGCTTTCCCTGACTCCCTGTGGCCAGCATTGAGGGTCACTTCCAGGATTTATTAGCATAAGAATGAGCTCAGTGGATCTGTGGGCCATGATCTACCCAGCCAGAATGACCTTGGAAAGCAGAAAGAGATACAATGATCTCATCGAATTGTTGGCTTTTTCTTAGGAACGAACCATTTGTAGCCAGAACATCCACAGCAGAAATGGAAGACCAAAGCATGATGGGAAAGTTTGTAAAAGTGGAAAGACAGGTAGGTCTTTTCTTTCTGTCACTAGAAAGCAAATGCAGAGTTTCTTTCCAAGTGCCATTTGTTCATAGGTAGAGACAATACTTAGTAATAGTGCTTACCATTCATAAAAGCATAATGGCATTCAGTCCCTGATTTAGTATTTACTGCCCAAGTGAACACATGCAAGCGAATTGTTCTGAGACTCAACTTTCCTCATCTGTAACATGAGGATTTTAATACTTCATACAGTTGTGAAAACTAAGTCAGTTGATATAGGTGAATTACCTAGAATATTAACTGGTATAGTGAACAGTCCACAAATGATCACCAATGTGATCACATTCCCCATGGTGGTCCCTTAGAAAATGTTAGCTCACCACTGCCCTCCATTCACACGTCTTTAGTCCTCCTTTCCTCTGCATCCCTGTCAGCTGGTGGCCTCTGTGAAGTGCCCTGGAGGAGTGCAGGTGATGGGTGAAGTTCATTCAGGGTGGAGAGAGAAACCCACTCTCAGCACCCCTGTGGCTCACAGCTTAAATCCACCACAAGGCAGCTTATATTCTAACATCTTTTGCCTGATTTTGTACTAGATGAATGGCACTGCCAGTGTCCTCTAGGATTCATATCAATCCTTTTGTTTTATTCATAAACCAAAATTGGATCCATGCAGGAGAGATGAGAGAACATTTGAATGACTATTCTATTTTCGTATATCAAGAATACTGTCTCTCATTTAAAATTTTTAATTTATAATCTCCATCCTTCCACTTACTAACTCTGTGACCTTTGACAACTTACTTCACCTCTCTGTGCCAGTGTTTGTTCCCTGTGAAACAAGGACGATGATAGTGTCCACCTCGAAGGGCTGTGAAAATTATGAGTCAACATATTGCATAGGAGAGTCAGATACTCACTGGCTGCTTGCTGGGTGTTAGTTACTAGAGGAAAAGAGGACTAAGGACATGTGAAATGGGGGGAGGGCAGCGAACTAACATTTTTAAGTGACGGCCATGGGGAATATGATCACACTGGTGACCATGTGTTGACTGCTCACTGTGTCCCCTTCTGGGACGTCACTTGATCCAGCGCTTCACAACCTCATTTGCCAAGTTAGGTGAGTCCTTACCTGATGGCAGTGTTTCTTGGTGAACTATGAATTGTAAGACAAAGAATCTCTCTCTCTCTCTCTTTCTCTCTCTTCCTCTCTCTCTCTCACACACACACAATGCCTATTCGTGTACATGCACAAGCAAAAATCTAGAGAAATTTCCAGTTTAGGCAATCAGGATCTGGGCAGCTTCTGCCATTGCCCAAGGATGTGAGCAGGGTCTCCAGTTCCCAGAAGTCTCATTCTGCCTCACCTGGCCCTTTATCTCCAAGGCTAATGTGACCATGTAGGAAAAACACACTGACAACCCATACACTTCTAAGAAAATGTTGGCAAATCGAGAACTCCCATTCCCTGACTGGAACAGCATCAGCAAGGCCACCTGCTGTGCCATCGGACAAAGAAGACCTGGAACATTCACCATCAAACCATCTCTACTGCCAGCCTTTGCCTTCCAGATAGTTCTTGCTTCGGTTGACTGACAGTAATACACAAAGAGGGCTGGGGATATAACTCAGTGGCACACGTGACTGCCTGGCAAGCACAAGGTCCTGAGTTTGATTCCCTGTACCAAAAAAAGAAAGAAAGAAAGAAAGAAAGAAAGAAAGAAAGAAAGAAAGAAAGAAAGAAAGAAAGAAAGAAAGAAAGAAAGAAGCAAAGGCAGTAATACACAAGGAGTGATCAAAATATACAGAGAATACTTAGATTTTTTTTAAATCTATTATAGTAAGAGACAAATTGCCCTTAACCACCTTTGAAATGCCCCTGTTGGTACTGACACACTTATTCCATCATTTTGACACTTTCTGAAGCAATTCTCAAGGTCCTCTTTGGTGTGCATTATGAGGTATGATTAAAAGTACAGTGAATGCTTCTGTTGTGTGCCATCCAATGGAAAGACAAGCTCATAAAAATATTACAGTGCATCCTCCTTCACCTTATTCACCAGATCTGGCACCATGCAACCTTCTGGCTCTACCCCAAAGCCAAAGCGACCATGGAAGATAAAAGTTTTGAATCCATTTATAGCATTAAGGCAGCTGCAATGAATGGCACAACTAAAGATACTCATGAAAGAGGACTGCCAGAACTGCTTCAGAAAATGGCAAGAAAGATGAGATAAGTGTGTCCAAAGTGAGAGTAGTATTTTGAGGGGGATTAATGGTATTTCTTTTACTGTAGCAAATTGTTTTTAAAAATTGAAATACAGTATTTTTTATTATCCCTTATATATGCAGGGCTTGCTAGGAGGAGGCAAAAAATAAATTATTAGCTGCTGTTATTATTATTATTATTATTATTATTGTTAAGAACTGTGGGGCTTCTCCTCTGTTCTGAAAAATAAATAATTATAGTATGTTCTCCTAACAAGTACTAACACCCCACACTACACAAAGGAGCAGTGATTCCTGGGTTCTTGTCTTTTCCAGGTGCATGACATGGGGAAGAAGTTGGACTTCCTGGTGGACATGCACATGCAGCATATGGAACGGCTGCAGGTCCAGGTCACTTGCTCGCCAGCTGCAGGGGAGAAGAAGGAGGACAGCAGGTATTCAGACTTGAAAACCATCATCTGCAACTATTCTGAGGCAGGACCGCCTGACCCTCCCTACAGCTTCCACGAGGTGCCCATCGACAAGGTTGGCCCCTATGGGTTCTTTGCACATGACCCCGTGAACTTACCCAGAGGAGGACCCAGTTCTGCCAAGGTCCAAGCCACTCTTCCTTCCTCCACAAGCTCATATGCAGAAAGACCCACCGTCCTGCCTATTTTGACTCTTCTGGACTCCCGGGTGAGCTTCCACTCCCAGGCTGAATCCCATGGCCAGTACTCGGACCACATCTCACCACGGCAAAGACGTAGCCTCACGCGGGACAGTGACACGCCTCTGTCCCTGATGTCTGTCAACCATGAGGAGCTGGAGAGGTCTCCGAGTGGCTTCAGCATCTCACAGGATAGAGATGATTATGCATTTGGCCCCAGTGGCGGATCCAGCTGGATGAGGGAGAAGCGATACCTTGCCGAGGGTGAGACAGATACAGACACAGACCCCTTCACGCCCAGTGGGTCCATGCCTCTGTCGTCCACAGGGGACGGGATTTCAGATTCCATATGGACCCCTTCCAACAAGCCCACTTAACAGGGGTCACTGGCTGACTCCTTGTAATGTACACAGACTTTGTATAGCTCCCTGACTCTCACACCCAACGCATACAGCGGGGACACCAGTAGCTGCACCGGATGCATGCGTGTGCACAGTAGCCCCAGCCAGCAGGGGTTCGCAGCCTTCTTCCTCCCCAAGTCATCACAGCGAAGCCGCTTCCTTTTCAGCATGGTTTGCATGACTTGACACTATATAAGTGGTACCACTAGTCTCTTCTAGGACACACATTAATCTACTGTTTTTACTTTCAATCATGATTGGACCAGTACAGGGAGAGATTATTGATGAGCCTTGCTACTTATTTCTTTGGTTGACTGGTTGGGGTTTTGGTTTGGTAAGCAGAGAATGTAGCTGAAGTTATTTCTAGGATCACTGCCCCTTTGTGTAAAATACTTTAGGAATTAACTATTTTCTAAAGCAAAGAAGTAATTTTCTCAACAAGAACACATTGCATACCAGTGAGGCTGCCTACCGAGCAAACATGAAGGAAGGAACAAGATAGGATTAGGACTCCAAAGTCAAGAATTCAAACATTAGTTTCTTAAGGAACAGCCAACAAAATCATTTAAAAATTCTCAAAGTGACTTCACGTGCTCTGCCACTGTCAGTATTGTGCCTCAGTTCCCCCACCTGTAAAATGTATTGATAATTCTTATGGTAGCATTTTACATGTGTTATGAATTGGTGGGGCTAAATCACACACGCACACACACACACACACACACACACACGCACATGCATTTGCATCCCACATACACAAACACAAAAATTAAAATAGTTACCGATTTATATAACTAAGGATAGTGAAATTTATTACAACTGGGGCGGTTCTCTGAGCAGGAGCCAAGTCCAATGTCTTCAAAATGAGGTTCCAATTCATGTTGCTCCCCATGTTATTAAAATGCAAAATATACACAAAAAGCAAAAATTACAATCAAGAGGGCATGCAGAAATTATCTTTTCCAAGTTCTTGTTCTTAAAAATGAGGCACCTTAGGCTCAGGTACAGTGACATGCCTAAGGATACTGCATGGTGCCATGGAGAGCCAGGACTCCAAGCTCCTGCCTGCTGACTTCCTCCCTGCCCTGGCCTCCTTTCACTACACCACTCTGGCATTTGCACACTGGGACCCAGAAATTAAGCCAAGATACTGGTATTCTGTGTTGTGTGGAAAGAAATCCCCATAGCTTATCCTGCAGGAGGAGAATGTCTTGCTAAAGACATTTGTCATTGCAAAACATGTGTCCTTGATGCCTTACATTTGGGATACAGGAAAATAATAATACAAGCAAGATATAGCTATGAATATGCAAACAGGTAAATTTCCAAAACCGTCTAATCTTACTCCACCAAATTTTGCCAATGGAAGCACTGACACTACATGTAATTGTAAGATTTTCTTAAGTGTAAGCAGACACATGGAGTGCACTGTCCTATAGAAGCATCAGTATTAAGCATAAGCCTCACTGTGGTCTCTTAGATGTTGCTACTCTCTGAAAACTGATGGGAAAGGCTTCTGGTGGGCTTGGGCTGCAGTTACTAAAGGACAACACCATACCATTATTCTTATACTCCTTCCGTGATTCTAAGCAGTGGTTACTAATAGTTGCCATGGTAACCATCAAGCTGATCAAAATGGTCTAATTAAATATCTACATACTACAGCAGTCAAAGTTCTCCCTCACAGTTTTGTCAAGAGCTTTAGTCACTATGGCAAACGGCCCATGGTTTCATCAATGTCCTGCCCTGTGTTAGAGAGAGATTGCTCACAGATTGATTCTTTTGAATTCACACACCAGTAGGCCTTGTGCAAAAAGCTAAGAATACAGTACTTGTGAAGGCTTGGGCCCTGACTTTGGAAACTATACCAAACCCTGAAGTCTCTGAACCAGGACTGGCATTGTAATTGATAGGAGTGTTACATGAATGGTCCCATGAATGGATGGGTATTGACCCTGAACTCCAAGGCCGGAAGTATGCAAGAGTCATTACACACATTGGACAAGAAGCCCCACCCTTATGGTTTTCCACATATCCTTTCAGCAATTGGAAAGGCAAAGGGCATGGACCATTTGGTCTTCATCCACCACTACCCTTAATATGGCTTCACTACTGCCACTGGGGCTAGATCCTAAGAAAACGTAGGATTTTTTCTTTGGGGCTTGAGTCTTGGCTCTGAGCTTCTTGGGCTCTTTAACCAGATATCACTGTGACATCTATCTTATATGTCCCCATGTTGCTCTTTATGTATTCAAATTATTGGAAACAAAAACAAAAAAGGGAAAACAAATCCAAATCCGTACGTATATACCAATTATTCTTTCTAACATATGAATATTCTTGTGGAAGCCAGTATCATCTGTGTTTTACAGATAGATCCATATTTCTGGACTTCAGTGAAATTCTTGCTCAAGAGTGAGATCGTCTTATTCCCCTGCTGAAATGTTTACTGTGGACCCAAAATTAGACAAACTACCTTAGGTTCTATCAATTACCTGTCAATAATGGGAACTTGTAATATTTCTCAAACTATAGGTGGGAAATCAAGCTTCCCTGCTGATCACAAAGTTAGGACAGCAGGAATTGGATTTGTGTTGATTTGCATTTTCTAATAAGTTCCCTTCATCAGTGTGGACACAGGAAAATAATGCTTAGTTCATAAATGGATGATAAGAACCTTAGGAACTGTTTTTTTGTGTCTAAGAAAACAAAAAGAAAAACGTGATCTTTTGGAATAATTCCGCTTTCACATTTATTTTTTTCACTCAAAAACTGCATTCTAGGAAAACAAACCAAATGTACTCAAGTTGCCTGCTTACCAACATGACTGGCTCCAGAGAAGCACAAGTTCAGGTTCTGAGATTCAACACTGGCAGTGGGGATAAATAGTATATGCTTCTACAAATTTTCTCCTTTTCAGACAAAGAAGCCACAGGATGGATGAATCCAACAGAACAGAATCCAACAACATACCCCAGACTTCTGGTATATACTGGTGGTTCCACAGCTTGCCCAAGATATCATTGCAGTTTGGGCCAAAACCCACTGAAATACTGACAATTTAATTCTATCCTAAAAAAAGAATGATTTTTTTCTAGTAAAACTGTGATCCCCTTATACTGGTATATATCTGGTTTTTACATGTTATATGACATAAAAAATTTAAGAGGTGGGGTGGGGATGTAGCTCAGTGTAGAGCAATTTCTTGGGTTCTATCCTCAGTACCACAAAAATTAATAAATCAAGTTAGTTTGGGCCTCAGGATATAGCTCAGTGGAAGAGTACTTGCAAGGTACTGGGTTTTAATCCCTTGGTCAACCCTCAAATTAAAAAGTCATATTTTAACAAGATTAAAAGGAATGAGATAAATCAACACTTATTAATATTAGGCCAATGGTGATCTTGTGGACTGAGAGGGAACTATCTGAGATCAAGTCTGAGTTTTAACTATCAAATACCAGTTCAAAAGCAAATGCCAAAACTTTAAGAAAGAAATGGAGGGCTGGCTGTGGTGGTGCACACCTATAATCCCAGCACTCAGGGGGCTGAGGCAAGAAGGTCACCACCAGTTTAGGGCCAGCCTGGGTTACATAGCAAAACCCTGTCTCAAAAACACACAAAAAAATTAAAAATAAAAAAATACAGGAATACTAGAGGAAAAGAAAAACAATATATTCCAAATGAAGAAAGTTCTATATTGGTTCTTAGAACTAAGAATTCAGATTTATTAGACATGACCCTGGTATTATGAAGTCCTAGTTTTCATGAAAACATAATTGGAAAACTTCAAAGTATATAGGGCAAAACAAACTAACTGATCAACAATCATGCCTCCTCTGCCTAACATGGGCAAGGTAGTTCCAGACACTGTAAAACAGTAATGACTTGTAGACAAAAGTTGATATAACAAGATTTACTCAAAATTTGCAAAAACCATTTTCATAGTTCTATGGTACTCTAATGAGATTGTAATAAAGAAAAATTCATTTGTTGATTCATTTGACAAGATTTATTCAGCTCCATCATCTACCAGGCACTATGCAGCAGAAATTCAGTGATCAGAAAGGCACAGATTCTGCCACAAGCAAGCTAGACATCTGGTGTTAGAGGTCCCACAAATATCTAAGGTCCCTTCAACCTATGTCAGTGAGGATGAGAAATATCTTCTTTCATGCTGTGGGCAGCTCTACCAACAGGACTGTTTCTCAACTTGGAAGCAGCTGAGGGATCAACATGAAGAAGTGAGAACAAAAAATACTGCAACAAAATGACAATGATCCCATCACACCAGGGAAGCTGAGTGGCTTGAATGAGAACTTTGAGTTTGGTTTTCATGTGTTAGACTTTCTAGTTCCTGTGCAAGAAAGTGGTATTTTTAAAAGGTCCTTAGGCAAATCAGCTTTCTCCTCTCTAAATTGCTGCCAGGATGGAGGCCAAAGAGAGTTCTGCTTCATCATGCTGACCAAGAGAAGCTGTGGTAAAGGTCATGTCACAACATCTGTTTGAAGAGAAAAAGGTCACTCTGCCTGTGAGAACCTAGATCAAATTCTTTACGGGCAAGAGAAGAAATTTGTTCAAGGTCTTAAAAGTCAACTGCCCTTCCAACAGTGCTGCCAAAAACACACCCTGGACCTCCCAAACCTTTGCCATCTGGAAAATGTCACAGAGCTGCTCTTCAGCTTTCATTAATGTCCAAGGCACCTATAACTATAAAGATTTTCATTTTCTGAGCCCTGGGACATCATTAGGAATTAGCTTTCACTTATCCTTGAAAGCTTGTTCATTTCAGGATGAACTTTTTAAACTACTAAATCTTAGCATCCAAGTCCACTCACTGTGCTTGGGTTACTGATATTATACCTTTAAATCTGAACTAATTGCCTCCACAAAGTAGCAGTTGGTACCTCACAGTTGCTCCAGATGAACACGTTAGGGCCCAGGTTATTTGCATATCTTTTTCTGGTTTTGGAACCCAGTATAGTAGTATCAAAGAGATAGGAAGGATATAGAGATGATCTAGACAAAAATTTGCATTTGGGGACATTTAAAAGCATTTGACTCTTCTGGCCTGATTTGAATTTCAAATGAGACAATCTATATATAAAGCCCCTAGTATAGCCGCTACACCATACTCAGGACTGTTTCTCATGTTCCTGTTTTATATACAGTGTGTGTCATTCCACTTCCAGTTCCTGATATTACTCACTAACTCTAGACTTGCATCCAAAAATATTTTTCAGAAAAAAAGGATAATTGAAATATGATCCCATTTATTATATGACAAAATAAGCACCTCCACATCTAAAAAATGATTTTTCTCCATCAAAATACAGAAGGGATGAATAACACAGTGAAGAAGGCAGGAAGGTTGGGTCCCAACGGGGGAGCTGTGGAAGCTCCATGGGACATAGAGAGCTGCCTGTTGCACTTTGTCCTCAAAGGAGGATTCATAGGCTGCCAAGCCAAAAAGAAGTGATGAAGCTGACAGGACTTGTGATTCCACAAAGGAAGTCAGATCTTCCTCACATTCTCTCTAGGGTAATATGCTTCTGCCCAGTAAGCCTCGAACATCCCTGTAGAAAACTCTAGACTCCTATTCTGAGTTATTGTTATATGGATGGAGACACAATTTCTTAAGTTCTGAGGAGCACAAGGACACCTTGGTTGTCCTGAAGAACCACCTCTCTTTCTAAATCAGGAAGCAGAGGCTCAGAGTGCAGGGAATCACACCTGCTTCTCAGTGATGAAATAAGCAGCAGAGTAAACCTAGAATCCACACTTCTTGGCCCAGATGTGCAACATAAATGTTACTGTTGAGCTCAGAAAATGAAAAACAATATTTCTCTGGGCCACTCAAGAAACTGCTAAACCAGACCTGTTTTGAAGTCTTCTCATCTCTAAGATTTGATTGATGCTGCCATGTCGTGGAACACGGTAATGTTCCTTCTCCCAAACTACTGCTGCTTTCAAAACCCCCTAACAAAACCTGCCGATGCTGGCTGCATTTGAGGAAAGAAATGAGAAGACATCTCTTGATCATGGACACTCTTACTCTCCACTCTTTTGGCCACTCCTACTTTGTCCCTTCCTTGTCCTGCCATGCTTGGACTGGTTTACTTCTTGGCTCATCACACAGAGCCATTCAGCTCCAGAGTCATCCCTCAGGTTGTATTCTCATCTCTACACCAGTTAAGCAGGGTTTCTCTCTAGGTTTTATTTAAGAAAATGGGATATTACTTTGGGGCAATCCATACTACCCCAACTTGCAAGTCTTACCAAAAAATGTAGCCTGGTCCTTCTCACTTTGTTCCAGAGAATCCCCAAGTTATTCAAGTAGATAACTCTAGAGCCTTCTCCAAAAGCTACAAAGAGGGAAGCAAGACTCAACCTCAGACATCTCATGCTTTTGTAACTAGGGTATTAGTTTGGGAAGCAGAAGGCTTCCTTGACTCAGATGAGGCTCTCCATAGTGATTTCCACTTGTGTTTGATGGGCATAAATTTTCCAGAATTTGGTAGGATTCCCTCATGGCCCTTGTTAAACTAGTGATAGGACATTTAGTTCTCCTGGATCAGTCTCAACCAAAAGCCCCTAAAGAGAGTCAAAAGGAAAGGGAGTCAAGTTCTTCGATGGCAGTAGTTGACTCAGTAATCTCAGAAACATTCTGCGTATGCCTTTGTTCTTCAAATAGCACTGTTCTGGGACTGAAATAAATTTCAAGGGGAAATAATGGGGGTCTATATAATAGTAACCTGAAAATGGTTTATAATTGATCAGTCAAGAGCCTGACTAGTGTTTAGTAATATATTTATAATTCCTCTTACATTGGTTAAATGGACTGGAATTTGAAACCTGAGAGTAATGAAAACTGGCAGCATGTTTCATTTCAATGTTCCATTCTCTTCCTCTGCCTACAAGATGGGTACCAGGGAAGGGGATAGATACTTACCTTAAGCTCTTTTTATGAGTGGTGGATGACATTACATTGTTCTCTCTTGAATGTTCCATCCTCTCTGCAAACCCATGGAGGAGATGTTATTGTCTGCATCTCAGAACTGAAAGGGAAAAGGTCACATATTACAAGAGGAAGAGCTAGGTTTTTAACCAAAGTCTATGTACCCCAAAACTTATTGTGAACCCCAGGCCTCCCAGGTCCATAGACATATTCCAAAATCATGCCCTGTGTTTTCCCACAATGCATGGCCTTCCTCTGTCCAGTTACCTTTGAAGTAAAATGATCATAGACCTCTGAATTTCTGGGGAGAAGAAGGATGCTGGGGTCTGCTGGCTATTGCACTGGGCTATTGAGCGAGTATCTTCACAATCTAGCTGTCAATGACAGAAAACGATGCTACATAAATTATTCACTTGGTTCATGTTGGAATCCATTAGCTCTTGGAGTTTCGTGGTTGCAGATAATCCCACAAATGCCCTTTTTTCTCTGTCCCCAAGGATCTTCTGTCATTGTTTTTAACCAAACTGGTTCAAATGTCTCCAAGTCTCTGTTGACTATATGGTCTTTTGTCTCTACTCTGAGTATTCATTTCAGGGCTTTGAAATCCCACAGAAGCAGTTTAGTCTTTGTAAGTGTTCTCTGGGAGGCCAAAGGCTCAGAATAATTGTGTCTCTCTTTCTCAATATTAAAAGATCAGTGGAAGCCAACCAGATCTGGTAATAGAGTGCTTCCTTACTTTTCTGAGTACATTCCCAAGGGACAGAAATGAGCTTTGCTCTCACATGTCCCTCTGATGGTTGAGTCCAAATGGTGGGCAAGTCCAAGATGTGGAGCCACCCTTCTGTCCCACAGCAGACATTCTGCTGATGGAGAGGTAGAGGAGGCCTGGCCACATCCTGGAAAATCACCTTAGAAAGACAGATGACATTCATCCATTTGTCAATCCTTCCCTGTTTTAAAGAGAAAAATGATCTCCATCTTGCTTCAGATGGGATAGAACTCTTTTCCCCTTTTCTAATGTAGCAATGATGGAAAATGCAAATCACTGAAGAACAAATTGAGGTTTTCAGTGATGTGAGGTTGTCGCATCTGATTTTGGGTTGTATTTTCTTTACCCCTTTTTACGGCATAGAATTATGGTGCCTTGCTCCCTGGATTTGTC